AAGGCCTAGAAAAAATGAAGAGGGTAAAAGGCCACTGAACACAGCTAAATGGGCCAGTATCTTGTATAAACTAAATGTATATGCCTGTAAAGTACTGCAAAACTGTACAATGATTTCTTGACAGAACAAATAAGATGGGAAAATGCTTCCTGAATGCACAATGTTTGCAAGTCACAGACCCGGGGGAGCCCATAGTCCAATTTCAGTTGTTCTCATGTGTTTCCTATGTCTACAAAAGTTTATGTCAATTTGTTTCTTGTTACGTGCCTTCAAGTCATTTTTGACTTATGGTGAGCCTAAGGTGACCTTATCATGGTGTTGCTAAGATTTATTAGGAGGAGGTTTGCCACTGTTTTCCCCTGAGGATGAGAGAGTGTGATCAGGGTGGGTTTCATGGCCAAGCTGGGAATCAAACTCTGGTCTCCAGAGTCACAGTCCAATACTCAAACTACTACACCACATTGCCCTTCTTTATATCATGTCTAGTCGTAACCAACTGTAGGGGATGGTGCTCTTCTGTTTCAAAGCCGAAGAGCCAGCATTGTCTGAGGACTGACCTGGTGATCATGTGGCCAGCATGACTGCACCAAACACTGTTACCTTCCCACTGAAGTGGTATCTATTTATCTACTTGCATTGCATGCTTTCAAACTGCTAGGGTGGCAGAAGCTGGGACTAGTGACAGGAGCTCAGCCCATCATGCAGCACCAGGGCCTCAAACTGCCAATCTTCCAATCATCAGAATTGGCATTTTAACCACTAAGCCACCTCATCAAATAGATATGACTATTTGATGTTATTGCTGCAACAACCTACTGCAACTAGTCCCTGGAAACTGCTTACTTCAAGACTGGGGACAGAAAATCATCTTACTTAATGGTTCACTAAGACTTTGCATTGAATTAAGAACTATTCTATAGAACTAGTGTGACTGTTTTTCAGAAATGTTTCAGAACTGCATTTTTCAGTGCAGTATAGCAAGGCCTGTAACACAATACAAGCTAAAACAAAACAAAACAAAAGAATTCAACCAGTTTGAAAATCAGATAGGTAAAGAAATATGCACTTTACTAGTTGGATGAACTCTGGCCTTATTGACCAGAGATGTGAATCGTGCAGCTCTCCAGATACTGTTGATACTAACCAGTGGTGGGACTTGAAAATCAGCAAATTCTGGAGGGTTGCATAATTCCCACTCCTGCTCTAGGTGTTTTTGGACTGCAACTCCTGAAATTATTCCTCATTGCTATGCTAGAGCTGATATTTAGTTGCAGTTCAGTAACATCTGGTGGGCCACTGCTGACTATCCCCACATTACTACTTCCAGGAAAATGAAGAATTTCAATTTCTCACTGCTAGTATTGCATTGGCAAACAAAACAGAACAAAACAACCCTTGTACTTCAGGCCACTCCACTTTTTACATAGTCAATAAAAGCATTCAAGGGAGGTTTGTTTCATTTTGCCTCCTGCAGGGTGAAAAGTCACATTCATAACATTCAGGTTATGGAATTCCAATCCCCCCCCCCCTTGATCTTTACTGTATTTGATTATTGTGTTCAGCTGCTGACCGTTATTATATATGACTTCTGCTTTCAAAGAGAACCAGTGTGGCATAGTGGTTTGACTGTTGAACTATCACTCTGGAAGCCAGGGTTCGAATCTCCTCTTGGCCATGTAAACCCACTGGGTGACCTTGGGCAAGTCACACTCTCTCAGCCTCAGAGGATGGCACTGACAAACCCCTCTGAAAAAACTTGCTAAGAAAACCCCATGATAGGGTTGGCATTAATGGATCAATAATCTAAAATATGCAGATGACACCATACTACTACCAGAAGATACTGCAGAGCTGGATGAACTACTAAGAAAGATCAAAGAAAAAAGTACAAAAGCAAGCTTACTGCTCAACAGAAAGAAAACAAAAATAATGACCATGGAAGATCGACCCAGACTAGACAATGAGTAAATCAAAAAAGTAAAACAGTTCCCATATCTTGGGTCAAACACTAACTGGAATGGTAACTGCAGTCAACAGATTAGAAGACGACTGAATGAGGAGAGTGGCTATGATAAGAACTAGAAAAGTTCCTAAAATGTAACAATAATCAACGGAGCACAAAAGTTAAAAGAATCATCCAAGCCATTTTATTCCCTATTACCACATATGGATGCGAGAACTGAACAGGTAAGAAGGGAAGATAGGAAGAAAATTCATTTGATATGTGGATCTGTTGAAGAGTGCTGAGCATACCACAGACATCCAAAAAGTAAAATAAATTGGTTCTAGAAAAGATAAAGTCAGAAATCTCCCTGAAAGCCAAGATGATAAAGTTCAGGTTGTCATATTTAGGTCACATCATGAGAAGGAATGAATAACTGGAAAAGACAGTAATGCTAGGAAAGCTGGTGGGAGGTAGAAAGAGAGGAAGACCATAAGCGAGATCGATGGACTCTATTAAAGCGATCACAAGGATGAGTTTGCAGGAGTTGGGCAGAGCAATGGAAGACAAGGATTTTTGGAACTAACTCATCCAAAGGGTCACCATGAGTTCAGGTTGTCATATTTAGGTCACTGAGGTCAACAAGAGGGCAGTTAACAACAACAGGTGGCCATAAGGTGGAAAAGACATGAAGGCACACAACAAAAACAAACTGCTTTCAAAGAGAACCAGCATGATGTAGTGGAGAGGTAGGCAACCTTTCCCCTTTAAGGGCTGAGGGACTTCAGCTCCCAGACGCCTCAGCCATGTTGGCCAATAGTTCCATGTTGGCCAATAGCTCCTGGGATTCTGGGAGCTGAAGTCCCTCGGCCCTTAAAGGGGAAACGTTGTCTACCCCTGATGTAGTGGTTTGAGCACTGGACTATGACCTGAATAAGAAGAATGTTGAGGATGCCGTGGACAGCCAAAAGGAGAAACAAATGGGTCCTAGAGCAGATGAAGCCAGAACAGATGAAGAAGATAAGACTTAGGAAAGATGCAGAGAGGCCTAAAGGGCCGGCCTGGGGGTGGAGTTGGGGTGGGGCAACCGCACGCCAGCTGCCCTGACTCCACCCTGACTCTGCCCTGACACCGTGCACCCATCCATATGGCACGCGCTGTCAGGGTGCCCTCTTGGCGCAGCGTACAGACACGCTGTGCCAAAGGGGCACTAAAGAGCCACCGTCGCAGCTCAAAGGGTGGCTTTTTGCCGCCCCCAAAAGGAGCAGCATTTGCCCGCTCTTTTGGGGGTGGCAAAAATCGGCCCTTAGACTGTCATATTTTGAAGGCATGAATCATTGTTAGGAAAGATAGAGACCATGAATATGAGTTTGCAGGAGCTGGGCAGAGCAGTAGAGGACAGGGGGGCCTGGAGATGTCTCATCCATAGGGTCACCATGGGTCAAGACCCATGCGAAGGGGGTTAACAGCAACAAAACAATAACAGCTACTACCATTTTTGTTGAAATGAATACAAGAAAACCAAACCACAATTCTAAGAGATCACAGATTGCCACTATGAATGTCACAATAAACTACAGTTAACAATAACTGTGTAGAGAGCCAGCTTGTTGTAGTGATTTGAGCACTGGACTACGACTCTGGAGACCAGAGTTCAAAACTCTACTCAGTCATGGAAACCCACTGGGTGACCCCTTGGGCAAGTCACATTCTCTCAGCCCCAGAGGATGGCAATGGCAAAACTCCTCTGAACCAATCTTGCTAAGAAATCCCCATGAAGACAAACTACACGACTGATTTCGGGCGTTGTTTGGCGGCGTCCATAAAGCAACAGGAGTCTAGGTTACAGCTGCAAACCAAAATTACCATTAAAACATGGCTAGAGAGCAAGGGCCACTGTGGTGGGGCCTTCACCGTTACCACAGCAACCACAAGCCAGGCTGAGAATACTGTAAGGGGGAAAGAGGGCAAGATACGGGGTTCACCATACGACCTCAAGAAAAGGGGGGTCACATGACCCTGGGCGAAGGGCCCGGATGAAGCCGCCCCGTCCCCCTCTACCTGCTGCAGACGGAGGCTGGAAACCAAGGCAGCCGGCAAGTGCAGGAAGCAGTCCCGGGCGCTGCTCAGGGAGACGCTGGCCGCGGCCACTCCAGGCCCACCCGCCCCCCACATGGCCATCTACAGCCCTCATCTATCGCCCTCAGGACTCCCATCCGGGCATTGAGAGGCTGAGCTTTTCTTCCTGCTCCTCTGTTACACGAGCGGCCGACCTTTCCGCCCCTCGCCTGCCATTGGCTGGTGAGCTTGAGACCCGGTAGTTGTATTCAATTATCATTTGCTTGATTCCGCCCCAGGGGAGGGACCAATAGAAGTGGACTAATGGATCGTCTCGCTATGACAGAAGAAGGGGGAGGGACTAATGGAAGCAGACGATTGGA